ATACAATTGTATAAGTAGTAATATAAGTAATTTGTCAACCGTGGCAACTACTGTCAAAACGTCACTTTCACCAAAAGGAAGACTTTGTACAAAAGTCGATTGCTTGGGTACCTTTGTCCCACTCGTGTTTCTACCGTGAAGCAGTTGTGTTTGCATGGCTGTGTTTCGGTTTGAAGGGTGGGATATGGTGTGAATTTACAGGGTACAGAGGAATAACATCTGAGTCCTCAGGAATGGCAGCGCATGGGGGTATCATGGGTGAAACAGTACACTCTGTTATGTCCATGGTACTGCTCATGTCTATAGGCGACGTTTACCACCTTCCATCAGGTGGGACCGTCAGCTTGTTTGCCATTCTTAGTTGTATAAAAAAATAACTTCACTAATGGGAAAGGTCTATTTAGGATTATTTATTATTACTATATCAGCCTTTAACCGTCTATTGCTGAGAATAGGCTATCCCCATAAGAAAAGTTTTGCCAGTACTTGCCGCGCTTGGCAGGCGGGTTGGCAACCGCAGTTAGACCCTGGTGATATTTTTAAGAGGAACTCTGCTGTCTATCCCAAGACTATTCAGCTTCCTTAATCGCCTCTTACGACATCCACTGATAAGGAAGGGGTGGTCCGTTCTATACCGGGACCACACGGCCCAATAAAGCAATCGAATAAATATTTTACTGTGATTTCTTGATTATTATTACATTTTTAGTTTTTCTCTTCAAAAAGTATGTTTTACATAAACTTTCATACATTATTTAATATACGTTAATGAATAAATTTATAAAAATCATGAAATTATTTGTATATTTTTATATAAGAGATGTTATGATTAATTTGAAGTGAAAAGTGGTTAAAAAATATACATATATTCTTAAAAAAACTTCCACCTCTAGTTGTACATCGTTAGGGGCGGAATTTCGAAAAATCATTTATTTATTCCTTGTGTTAAGGAACCCATTGTCGACATTTAGTATTTCTAAGTTTCGTATTTTCGGCTGTGCGTTAATTCGAGTCAGTCAGAAATTTGCTCTTTATTATAGACTAGGTATTACGGGCGACTTCGTCCGCGTGCCCGGGATGTGTTTATTGACCATAATAAAAAGTAGCTATCTGTAAGTAAATTCTTTTCTATCCCATATATAATACGTATGTATTAAATTTCATAGTGTTTAGTTAAGCCGTTAAGGCGATAAGAGGTAACAAATAAACAAACTCACTTTCATATTTATACCATAAAAACTATTGTTTTAGTTTAATATTGTTCATCACGTTGCACTGTCAATTATATTTTCTTTTATTCCTGTCTACGGTCGACTGGTAGACAACGCCATATGGTGTTAAGTCCGCCATTTACACTATCTACGTGTATTAAAGTTTAATAAATAAATAAATAAGGATAGTGAAATAGTAGTGAATCCAAAAAAAACTTATGAATTTTAATTGCTGTCACCAATTAATAAAAACTTGACACGCACGCACGCGTTTGCTGATTTCAAAGTCGTTTCTTTAACTCGCGTATGTGTGGATTTTGTGTATTGCGTGCAGGAACGCGCCAGTGTGCGCAAACTAGAGGGTGTCTGTGTGCGGTGTGGACAAATAGCGACTTGTGATCATAACGTAAGTTTACTGCTGTGATAGAGTGATGATAGATAGATAGATAGATACTCTTTATTGTTTCCTTCAAAATACTACAATAGTAAACTTATTATAAATATAAATAATTACAAGAAATAATCACAATGAGAAAACAATGGGCGGTCTTATCGCTAAGAGCGATCTCTTCCAGGCAACCTTTGGATGGAGAGGAGTAATTATAAATAATTTGGTGGGAGCCACGATGAAAAATTTTGTTAATTCTGTGTAATGAGTGACAGAGTACGGTAGATATGGGGTGAAAGTACAGACGGATCGACAGCTGTTGTGGGAAAATTTCATGAAAATTTATGTTCAAAGTGGAGTAGATATTATTTGCATCTATCGAAGGCTACATGAGATTGAATGGATAAGTAAGATTTTTTTTCAACGGGTGATAATGGAATGGTAACTCCGCCTGCGCTAACGGTATATGCTGGCGGGGCACCAGTGAGGGATGATAGGTGAGATGAAAGGGCAGGTCAGTAGTTAGCCCACCGTGCTAAATACACCTGGAATTCAGTATGATTTTTTCCAAGGGAGACCACGTGGAGGTCGACCTGTTAGAAAATCCCTCCCCCCCCCCCCCCGAATAAGGAAGATGATGGTGATAAACCCGTTGGGCCGTGTAGTTCTGTTATAGAATAGGCCACTACTTCCTTTCCCGCGGGTGTTATAATAGGCGGGTGATAGGCAGCACCATCCCTCTTAAAACATCTCTAAAGCCTGACTGCGGTTTCCAATCCGCCTGCTAAGTGTGGCAACTATTGACAAAATCTCCCAAGAAGAAGGCATGTGTTCACCAGTGAACAGTTAAAGGCTGATATGATGACAATGATGGTGATGAACAGCGTTGCTAGACCGGGTATTTGTTTCGCAGTTTTACGCAAGGATTTTTCTATTCGTGAAATTTTGAAATGAAATTCTTAGAGAAAAGTGTAATTTATTGCTTTAGAGCAATTAATGGTTAATTATTTGGGAATTTTGAGTACAACTCAGTTTATTGCTTCGCCCTCAAAAGAGCAAAGCACTGATATTCTGTTGCGACCAAAGGGAATAGGGTAACAATAAAATAATACTACCAGATTATCCATACAATAAATAGATAGACATCTATCTCAAACAATCTATATTATTGTAAACAGAGGGAGACTTTGTACAAAAGTCGATTGCTTAGGTACCTCTGTCCCATTCGTGTTTCAACCGTGAAGCAGCTATGTTTGCATGGCTGTGTTTCAGTTTGAAGGGTGGGATATGGCGTGAATTTACTGGGTACAGAGGAATAACATCTGAGTCCTCAGGAATGGCAACGCATTGGGGGTTTCATGGGCGAAACAGTATACTCATGTTATGTCCACGGTACTGCTCATGTCTATAGGCGACGGTTACCACTTTCCATCAGGTGGACCGTCAGCTTGTTTGCCATTCTAAGTTGTATAAAAAAAAAAGTATAAAATTTATTTGAAAAGAATACGAGCCTAGTTTCTTGTCAGTTCTTCTCATCTCAAAATCATTCCGAACTGACGGTAGATTTGACATACCATAAGAGTCTGTAATAGGCCTACATGAATAAAGATATTTTGAATTTGAAATTAAAATTTGAATTTAAATGGTGAACTGAAATCAAACAGTTTATTCTAAGTACATAGAATACCGATTAATACATGTTTCAATTAGATATTCAATTCAATTCAATTTATTGCATTCTACAATATTATTATGAAAGGTGTTAATAATGGATAAAGTACATTGTAGTCACTGTCGGGCGCAGCAATTAGAAGCGAGGAGGGAGTTATTCCTTAATTTCATAAAGAATTTTCATAAAGATTTAAATAAATCAATTTCAATTTCATCGATTTAATTAAATTCGAATTGAATTCCAAATTAATTTAATTATTTTAACGATTTTTTTTTATTTCCAAATGTTTTATTTCATTTTAATGCAATTTAATGTAGTTGTTCATATTTTTAAATCTTTTTAGTATCGTTATCAATTTTAGTATTATTAACTAAACCAGTAATATTTATATGTTATGCGTTATTTTTTTTTTATTACAAATTTTTATCATATATATATTCATCTATATCGTAATAACATTTTTTAGCTAATAGTTGTTTTAATTGTGGTATGAATACTCTATCGTTCTGTCGTTCTGTATGTATATGTAGGCAGGTAACAGATTACATTAAATACAAACATTAACAGGTACGACGCGCGATGATTATGAAACAGTATCTTGTGGAAATCATTTAATGATCATGTATCAGAGTTCGTCGATATGTGTCATATATACGTAGGCATATTCTCACGTAAGTACTTCACACATAATATCTAGAGAAAAATGTATGTGTTATAAAAAAAGATACATAAGAAATTTTTATTATACTAACCTGATCATATAAAAAAAAATATTCTTAAATTTTTCTTTTTTTTTGTTTTTTCTGTTAACTTTTTTTTTACCTATTACTATCGTATGAGTACTATTCGATTTTTTATGGATTTCGTAACTTTATTTTTATTTGTATGTTACTCGACATCTTTAGAAATTTTCTTTTTTTTTTTCTAAATATTATTGATGCGGAAATATGAAATGAAATGAAATGAATTTATTTTGCTAGAATGCAGGTAATTTTAGATGATAGAGGTTTATATTTCCCGTGTATATTCTGCCTCTATGTCGGCGTGCAAATTTTTAACAATATAATAAATTTATATATATATTCTACATTATATTTCCTTTCCTTAGTCATACAATATAGTATTATTATTTATTACAATAAACAGAAAAAATAAAAGCCTGTACAATAGTTGTCCAAATTAATAAAATATTTTAACAACTGTATCTCTAGTGTAGGTTGTGAAGTGCATTTGTTTTTTTAGCGAAATATTCATTAATGGTATAAAACCCGTTACATAACAGCCAATTTTTAAGTTTACGTTTAAACACTGTATGAGCTGTTACTTCTCTAATGTTATTTGGTAGATGGTTGTAAACTTTAATAGCCATACAGTTGTGCGTTTCTTTTATGTAAATCTAACCTGCACTTATTTATATTATATGTTAAAGTATCTTAAAATAATTGTTTTAACTTTGGGATATAGTTTTCAACTTACTTTCCACTAAATATATGTCGGTTTATAATTTTCTGTTTAATTATTATACAATGAGCATTTATTTTCTAGTCGATATAAAAATTTGTAATTTCTAAAACTGTATGAAACGGAAATTAAAACTGTAACCTATTTGACGTAAAGTGCATATTTGCTTAACATTTATATGGCTACACAATGGTAAATATTAGTAAATACCGCACTAATAAGCTGACAAGTTAGAAACAGAAATGGTACCTTTGTAGACAGTATGTACCTGGGATCACACGATGTAGTTGCGGCGTGGGTCTCTCCGGCCGATAGCGAAAGGCCAGGCCTTAGCCCTTACAGCGGCTGCCACGTCCCCTTTCAATAGTGCCACCACGTCATCCATGTATCGCAGCGCTCGCCACTCGGCCACCAGCGCACGCGCAGCGGCCGCGCACCGGCACGCGCGCGCACTCTGCGCCTGGAAATGTCACAATAAAAAGATTTCAAATAAATTTCAAATAAGCTGAAGTGGCAATACACCATATATGGGTCGAAGAATTGATAACTAGTGGGGAACAAAAGAAGTAAACCCGTGATCTACGCGAACCGAACTGTAGCATTACGGAGTGGCCTTTTTCGTGATATTTATTTATTTATTTGAAAATTACTCACCACAATTACAGTGGTCTTTTCTTCCTATATATCTTAGCCACTGTGTTTTAAAATGGATGATAATGAAATAGTAACCCCGCCTGCGCTAACGGTAGACACCGGCGGGGCACCAGTGGGAGATGATAGATGTAAATGAAAGCAGGTCAGTTAGCCCATCGCGAAGTATTCCACGAGAAGTAACCACGATGGTTTCCAAGGGGAACCATGTGGAGGTCGACCTGATTAGTAAGATTGCTAACAATGGGGCTGTTAGACCCCATCGCTAATAATCCTTTTTCCCCCTAGACACTGCGTTAGGTTGACTGGAAGAAATCTCTTTTAGAGATAAGTTCGCATTTGCTTGTTTTGTTTTTAAGTTGTTATTATAATGCAATAATAATAATTTTTGTAAACAATGTTTTAATGCAATAAAGAATATATCTGAACAGTTTCATTGTGTTCATGGACCACATTACGGTCGATTCTGAACTGTAAATTTTCTTAATTTATCTCTATATTTCTATTTGATAGCACAGCGTAATCTTTATTGTAAAGATCATCCCCATCATCTGGACGAGTGGCGGTTTTCCACCGTGCGTTTTTCAAGGCACTTTCTTCCACGCACAACCATTCTTTGGAATCAACTTCCAGCAGCAGTATTTCCGAACCGATACGACAACATAACCTTCAAGAAAAGAGTATATTCCTTTTTAAAAGGCCGGCAGCACACCTGCAATGCCGTAGGTGTTGTGGGTGATCATGGGCGGCGGTAGTCACTTACCATCAGGTGAACCGCATGCTCGTTTGCCCCCTGTGTTGTAAAAAAAAAAGGACCGATATGAACAAATTTTCTAATAGATTTATGTCAAAATTATTATAATACAGCTTTCTTTTTTCTTTATATTTTATTTACTCTACTCAGCTTAGTTAGTAAATGAAATAAATAAAAATATTTTACAGACGGTAAGTATTTTTATACTCCTTTTTTTCCAATAAGACAATGCAACTTTTCCCAATAAGTTTCTTTTATTATTGATATTGGTACATATTGAGTTGCTTATACTCGTATAGAGCGTTCACTGTATTAGTTTATATGGTGGTAGATAAAACAGTAATTTTATGGAATTATCAAATTAAAATATTAGATTAGGAGATAGTTTAAAGAAATACGACTCCAGAATCGGCCCAATTTTCTTTATGTTTGTTCAAGTAAGTGGTAAAATGTATACCAATTTTCACGAGATGAAGCGCCAACCTGCTTTGTAGCGAAATAAGGGGAACCTACGAGTATGTTTAGAACTAGATTAATAACAATTGATGTCTAATTACAATGTTAGCTGAAAATAGGTCAGTTTTTCAACAATATTTATCGACTACTATGCTACAGATAATAACAGGCTATTATTTTAGCTTTTTGTTTTACTTTTTCCTATTAATTAATTTTTAATTTTCCTATTACTTTATTCATAAATTTAATTAATTAATCATTGAAAAATTGAATAGAAGACATTTGTAATTGAATTAGTAAGTATGGAATAATCCTAAAAGATATATACCTTACAGATTGAAAAACATATAATATTAAAATCAATTCCAATTAGACAAAGAAATGGAAAGTACACCATGAAAATAGTTAGTGGAGTTATTGTTTAAAATGATTTAAATTATAGTCGAATGACTCATATTTTTTTTTATGAGTAGGATAAAGTTTGTGGCTTATTGGGAAGTATGTACATATATCTCTCTATTAATTCGAGGGTCGGCGGTATACTGGCCCCCTGTATACTAGTAACTCTGGCTTCATACTATAACTATATATATATTTGTCGGCTAACAAATGACAATCACGTGTATTATATTTTTGTTTGCGATTACTACTGAAGAGTTTTTTTTTATACAACTTAGAATGGCAAACAAGCTGACGGCCCACCTGATGGAAAGTGATAACCGTCGCCTACAGACATGAGCAGTACCGTGGATATAACAGAGTATACTGTTCTTTAACTGTTTGTTTAAGGCATTATAACAATAAATTATGTGAAACTCGAGTCAGTATGAGCAAAGAGCAGCCAACTTTCTAGCATACCTTATATAAACCTGATACCTAAATATAAAAAAATTATAATGAGGCATTAGAAATTTTCCTGCGAATTATTCCTTGTGGTATACAGTATACAGTTTCGCCCATGATACCCCCCATGCGTTGCCATTCCTGAGGACTCAGATGTTATTCCTCTGTACCCAGTAAACTCACGCCATATCCCACCCTTCAAACCGAAACACAGCCATGCAAACACAACTGCTTCACGGTAGAAACACGAATGAGAGTTTTGCAATACAACTCTATGACGTATGACTAGACTAGAGGTCGAAGATTGGGCTCGCTTATCTTTTAAAATACAGTTACAAGTTTACAAATACAAGCAAAATGAACGAATTATGTTCCATGTTCATTAAAAGTCTAAATATTTGCAACGTGGAACTAACGTAAGTGCACAGTACGATCGCTATCTAATGTACTATACTTGGTGCACAGCGCTAAGTATGTATACTGCAATTGGTGCATTGTGCAGCGTGTTTTGTTGAAGCGATGCACAAAATGAAGTTAATTCGAGTGAAAGTTACGCGAATATTTATTCACATTTAGTAATGAATTACCTCATTGACCATTAGCACTGTCATTATGAAGTTTAAAGAGTTAAATAACAAATGCCACACACAATAACAGATTAGAAATGTGATTGCTGCATAACAACCGGGTCAATAACACAAACTTATCGGTAAACATTCGCGTAACTTTAAAAATAGGCACAATTAATATATCGTGAGGTTGGAATTGGAAAAAGTGGTGTTGGTTGTGTTGCGAGCAACGGTACCAACGCGTCAGGGGTCGCGGCGAGCCACGCGCCGGGCCAGCACCTGGATGTCTTCGTGGATACCCGCCAGCTCGTTGTGCAGGTCCCGGGACTCCGCCAGCAGGGCGTCCAGGCGTCGCGCTGCTGCACTCAGTTCGGTCTCCTGGCACTCCCCTTCGTCTTCCTCCACTGATAACGCTAACTTTCCCAATCTTTCTCTCTCGACGGCTTCTTTAATACTCCCACCTCTTTTTCTGAACTCCCTCAACAACTCCTTTCGAATATTTCCTCCCGAACGCTCTTCTTCTTCCGCTTCACGTAACTCGTCCGCTAGAGATCTTTCTGTTTTTGGATTTTGTAATGTTTGAGTGAAATTTGGCGGTTCCGTCGGGGTTTCAACAGGTACCGCCGGCGGATTAGGAGGTTCCGGTGTGGTGGTCATTGAGACACATTGCGGACTCGGAGACAGTAGCGCTCGCTGTAGAAATCGCCGCGTATCCTCATCGAGTGGTCGCGTGAGTCCTCTACGGGGAGCCGGTTTAATTATCGCCTCCAAAACATCCCGGCCCGGATCTTCTGGCCGGAGGAGCTCGAGTATTTTCGCCCGCGGTGGCGATATGGTCGAGCAGACGTCGAACCTTGACACCAATTTGCCCTTGGACGGTGAGGTGTGGATATCGCCGGTGGGAGAGTACGCGCGGAGGTTCTCGTTGAGCAGCCGGTAGTTGCGGAGTTTGACGTTGCCCTCTGGCGGGAGGGGTGCGCCGGAGCAGTCCTCCGGCTGTGGTTCTACAATTTCGATGTAATGCATACACTGCATCGGTGTCGGTGCAGACGTGGGACCGTCGTGCCGCGGCTGCGTGAACAGGCTCATGTCTCGCTCGGGCGGCGCGCGCGGATGCACTAGTCCATCGGTTCACGAAAGCGGCACGCACGCGACTCGGCCGTAATGTGCGATAACTAACTATACTAATTTGTTGATTTCGCCTAATTATTTAAAAGGAACTGTTTGCTTTGCCGTGCCGTGTCGATACGCCGACTCAGCCGGAATGCATGAGGGGACGCCTGCTTGCGCTCGACTAATTCAATTTAAGCCCTATTTCTGTCGTGTTAGAAAAAATCATTGCAACATTCCAATGCATGGAGTACTTGATACGCTTCACTTGTTGTTGCACAATTAAATGTAACTAGATTATAAATCATTATACGAAGTAATTTATTAAATAAACGAGTTATTTTTTATGGGTGAAAATGGAATGGTAAACCCGCCTGCGCTAAGGGGATATACTGGCGGGGCACCAGTGATGGATGATAGGTGAGGATGAAAGCAGGTCAGTTAGCCCATCGTGACAAGTCCACAAGAATTAACGACGATGGTTTCCAGGGGGAACCGCGTGGAAGTCGACCTGATAGGGTATATTGCTAGAAAGGGGGTTGTTAGGCAATCCCTTCCCCCCTAAATAAACTGTTAGATAGGCATAGTTATTGGATATTAATTTATTGTACGATATGTTTATTGTGTAGGGAATTCGAAATCTAGAATCTATTAACCGATTGGATGGCACAGCTCAATTTCATATTTCCGTGAGATTTATTGAATCGTTCCTACGGATAAGTCGTATTGAACTAACGGCACGTGTTAGTATTAAAATATTGGAAAGACATTCATGTCTCCGATAGTCTTTTATGCAACTTAGAATGGCAAGCAAATTGACGGACCACCTGATGGAAAGCGACGATTCTCTATAAATAAGAGCATACACAGACATTAAAGAATACATTGTCACTGAGGACTATGGTGTTATAGCTCTGTGTCACTTGATTCCATTGCTCTATTTCAATCTTCAAACCGAAGCAGGCAGCATGTATAGATGCTTCATGGCAGAGACATGCCTAATACTAATATAAAAGAGGAAGGGATTATTAGTAATGCGGACTACCAATCTCATTGCTAGCAAAAGGTCGACCTCCACGTGGTTCTCCCTGGAAACTATCGTGCTGAATTCCAGGTGATTATATATATTTCATCACGATGGGCTATCCCAATTCAACAGTAAAGCAGTGGTGTTTTCATGGCTGTGTTTCGGTTTGAAGGCCCATGGGCGAAACAGTATACTCTGTTATGTCCATGGTACTGCTCATGTCTTATATTCTCACCTATCATCTCTTCCTGGTACCCCGTTATCGTATACCGTTAGCGCAGGCGAGGTTACCATTCCATTATGATCCATTAAATTCAAAATACATATACACACAATACACATATTCAAAATACATAATATTAAGAGACCGCGCGAACAGCTGTTCATACTAGTACCTTTGGTATTCATAGTAATAACCAAGATCAGCGGCAAGGAAATTAGTTCTATCGCTGATTGCCCAGTATGTTATCAAGCCAGTTCTTTCGACGGCTGCAAATTGACTGATTAGCGGACACAATTAATACGGCATTTGTCATTATCAAAGATTGCGCGTCAAGTGCGCCGCATCGCTACCTAACAAATTATCACAGATAAGCTGATAAACGTGGAAACAAACCAGATATGTAGAAATAGTTGTAAATTTCGGCGCTTTCGTATCATCAGCGGTGGTCTGGGGTACCTGTGGGCAGCCTCTAAACCCTTTGCGGCTGAATGGTATTCGAGACCTCTGCTGATCCTGGATCGTTCGGTTTTTTATCTTCAATACCTTTTTTTTTGTCTAATCTTGATTAATTTTGGTAATTAATCGATCAATGTCCGATTAATGGACGTGTTGTAAAGTAATTCAGTGTTTATATTTATTTTGCAGCCATTTTTTTTTCTTTTAATTTCTAACAAAATTCTAGTTCTTATAGTTTAATTTTTAAATCGAGAATTTTTTTTTTATCAATAACCTATGTAAAAAAACTCCAAGTATTATTAATAATCCTAATATTATTTTATTTATAAATTTTACTGCAAGAAAATGCATGCTTGACATAAAAAACGTTTCTAATTGAATATACCATTTGTATACTAACATCGTAGGCTGAGAGACCATCTTTAGTTAGTCTAGTAATCTTTAAAATTTATCTATATACCTATAAGTTATTGGAAAGATATTTTTACGTTATAAGTACCCTTCAATCGAGTGGTGCTCATGAGAAGTGCGCGTGAGTGGTATTTCAGGTAGAAAGGGGGGTTCGAGAGGCGAGGAGAGCGTATAGTTGGCAAGGGTTCGCTGCTGGCGTCAACTTCAGAAGTCGGCGGTGGTCAGACGGACCCAATTTTGTTGTTGGTTCGAGACCTAATACCGACTTTAGAGTACAAAAACTCCGTTATCATTTTGTTTGCATGTTTATTCTTTTGTATTACTTTTAAATTATTTTCTATGAGTTAATTTTGATTGTGAACCAAAGTGTGGACTGATTGTGTGATTTAGTTTAACATATGTGTTTTTTTTTTTCTTTTTATAACCCAGGGGGCAAACGAGCATGCGGCTCACCTGATGGTAAGTGACTACTGCTGCCTACGATCAACCACAATACCAGAGGCGTTGCAGGTGTGCTGCCGGCCTTTTAAAAAGGAATATGCTCTTTTCTTGAAGGTTACGTTATCGAATCGGTTCGGAAATATTGTTGTTGGAAATTGATTCCAAAGAGTGGTTGTGCGTGGAAGAAAGTATCTTGAAAAATGCACGGTGGAGGACCGCCACTCGTCTAGATGGTTGGGTTGAAATTTCGTATCTTTTTATCTATGGTAAATGCTGATTTTCTGTAGACCTCTGAAATCGTTACAGTGCTACGAGCAACAAGTAATTACTACAATATTGGATGGTTAGATACTAGCTATTAACCTGTGACTTTAAAAATCAAATCCGTTTAGTAGTTTTTGTGTGAAAGAGTAACAAACATCTATTATTACAAACTTTTATATTTATATTATATATATATTATATTATTGATAGTCAACTTTCAGAAAACATAGATTAAGGTCGAAAAATGAAAAACATATTGTTTGTTGAATGCGTCGTCTTTCTTTTGTTGTCGATGTTGAATTTTTTTTTATGCAACTTAGAATGGCAAACAAGCTGACGGCCCACCTGATGGAAAGTAGTAACCGTCGCCTATAGACATGAGCAGTACCATGAACATAACAGAGTATACTGTTTCGCCCATGATACCCCCACGGGTTTCCATTTCTGAGGAATCAGGTGTTATGCCTCTGTACCCTGTAAATTCACTGCCATATCCCACCCTTCAAACCGAAACACAGTCATGCAAACACAACTGTTTCACGGTAGAAACACGAATGGGACAGAGGTACCAAGCAATCGACTTTTGTACAAAGTCTCCCTCTGGTAATAAGAGAACTAAATGGAATTCAAAGGAAATACTAACTAAAACTTTACATCAACTTATCGTGTTAAGTGGGGTTCAAAGATAAGCTCCCTTCAGAAGTGTTCTCTAAAGATTAGAGTATTAAGTTCTTCAAAAAGGGTGTATTAAGGTTTCTTCAGGGTTGGAAACGCGTAAAACACCTGGAGGTACGGGCATCCCAAGGTTACAGTGACCGTTAATCATTAAACAAGCTGTAAGCTTTGTGGTATAAACAAATCCAAGCCGTTAAAATCAGCGCTTATGCGCTTCAGGCGCTTCATAGACGCGCTGCGTCCCACCGTCGATTACAAAATTGTACTGCGCTGAATGTAAACTGCGGAGTTAGAACACGATGGGGGGAGGGAGGGGAGTGTGTCAAGCGCCTTACACGTGTATCAAGCGCGTTACACGTGTCTTCCTCTTATTGCGGCTCTCCCCAAATAAGAGGTCCCATAGGTCTCTACTTATGTCCAGTGGAACGATTATGAGTTGTAATGATGATATATTTTAAATTTATTCAGTATTATTTACTGAAGAAATGTTGTTGTCACCGTGTAGGTCCCGGTATAGAATGGGCCACTTCTCCTTTTCCCGTGGGTGTCGTAAGAGGCAACTAAGGGACGGCGAGTGATGGGCAGCAGCGTCCCTCTTAAAACATTTCCAAAGCCGAACTGCGGTTGCCAATCCACCTGCCAAGCGTAGCAACTACTGATAACACTCTCTAGGAGGAGGTTTATGTCCAGCAGTGGACAGTTAACGGTAGATATGATGAGGATGATGAATTTTTGTATAACTGAATTAGTACGGTTGACTGGAAGAAATCCTTTTAAGGGATAAGTCCGTCCGTGTACATGTTTGCGCTATAACCTATATCTATAAGTAAATATACAAAAGCATATAAATAAATTTATTTACAGAAGTAATTTACAGTGGTACCCTGCACTTTGGTTATGTTTTGTTAAGAGAGGGACTGGCCGAAAACCAGCGCTGTGCAGCTGTTCACATTGCGCTGGGACACTCACAGCATCCGCTGAGCCGGTTCCTTTTGCCGAGTGCAGGACACTTTTTGTATAGTATGTTATTTATATTTTATATTGTAATTGTATGGCAATAAATGTTTCTATTCTATTCTAATGAAAAGAAAAAAAAAAAACTAATTCTAATGTATATGGCGATGCGTTCAGAAATCTTATAATGAAATTTTATAAGTAACGGAAAAATTGGCACCGATTGTATTAAGTCTACTATAGACTTGTTTGTGATGCGTACTCCAACTGAATCTACATAGTTAGGACTAGAGATATGGACGTGATTGACATTGTAGCCGCGTACTCGCGCCAACCGCACCGGTTCATTCACTCGTTCTCACTCGTTCGAACGAATCATCGAATGAAGGAGACTGCCGAGTACTACCTCTCGATGGCTTGAAGGCGATGTCAGTGTTGCCGTATTTAGTGTTAAATGTTCCACTTTCAAATCGAGTGGCTATTTATTTATATTCATGTAACTCGTACTATTTTTTTTTAATGGGTGAAAATGTTATGGTAACCCCGCCTGCGCTAATGGGATACGCTGGCGGAGCACCAGTGAAGGGGTGATAGATGAGAATGAAATCAGGCCAGTTAGTCCATCATGATGAATTCATCAGAAATTAACCATGATAGTTTCCAGGGAGAACCGCGACGAAGTCGACCTGGTTGGGTATATTGCTAGCAATAGGATTCTCAGTTTCCATTACTAACACTCCCTTTCCCCCCGTACTAATATTTGACAGATTACAATTTGTATAACAACTCAATATTAATGAAATTTGATTAATTAAAATTTAGGAGTTTAAAATAAAATATGGCTAAAAACCTTAGAATCTTCTACCATGTTTTAAGAGGATTTCTAGCTTTGGACTTACGCGAACAAAAAGGGACTAAATGTATCAAAATTAACGGATATACGTTATATATTTTGAATTATTTTGCGATTGGCAACCCATTCGCGTGGCGTGGGTTAGCGGAGTGCGTGCGACGCATGCGTGCCGCGTGCTCCGGGTCGATAGCCGGTCGCGGCGGCCAGTCCGCGCCGCGCCGGGCCCCAGCGAGCCCGCGCCGCCCCGCCATGAGGGCGCGCGCGTTGCTCTCTATGCTAACCGCAGTTTTTGCTGTCTCCACAATAAGCCATGCCGAGAAGAGCAAGTTCTGTAAGTTTTAAACATCACTAGATTCCTTACTTTTCTATATTTCGTGTACTTTTCCCGCTAAACCGCTCGTAAGACCGCTAACGCCCTCTGCCGCTTAGCCGTCTACGAAGAAGCAGCCGTAATTCTACAATTCGCGGGCTTTAACGTTGGTTATATGTTTTTATTGGCCACCTATATTCGTTTATACTGATGGGAATGGTAATCGATTTTAAAGCAATGGCACCTATATCCGTACTTTGTGAGTAGCCCGCTGAAAGGTTTCAAGGCTTCCTTTATAACCTTTATGTTGCTTGATACGACGATTGTATCCTTTAATTCGTTTCTTTGAAACGGAAGCTTCTGTGACATTGTAACTAGGTTACAGGTTATATAAAACAGCATTTTCTCTTATTAGCTTGTAAATAGGTCACGAGACAATAGTAAGTACTGGAGTAACTAGGTTCGTACGAGACGCGCGCGTATGTTCGTATCTAGTTTTCTATTCAATTTATTATGTTCTAGTTTAGAGTTTAAACCGGTCTTTGCATTCATACCATTCTGTGGTGCTTTTGTTTTAATTGTTTATACATTACGTAGTTATGAAGATACGGTTGAATATTGCAATTAATCCAGATTAATGAAGATCTACTTATTTCATTATATCTAATTGAAGTTCTTTATAGTTATCATTTTGTATTTCATTATTGTCAACATTCGATGTCTGTTTAGATAAATTTATCAATACTAATGTAAAAAAGTTAACCGGCATCGTTATCTCAAAATTATTAAATGCATCTGCTTATAATTGGTCCAACAATTTAAATAATATGTCAATACGGCTGATATCAATAAAAAAAAGTGTAATAAATCTGCTTATTTTGAGATATATTTCTTTTTAAGTAGTTTTCGAATTTTTAAAAGTACCCACATCAGGTAGGTGCTCATGGGCAGAAGAATTGATTAGATTATCTCCTTCTTTAGAAGATGCTGCTTTGCATTTTATTTAACCGTAAATCCTGCAGCATATGCGATGATATCATTTTTCAAATAAAACAAATGCATTACTGTATATATATTATTACTGTATTATCAAAGGTTATTAGGTTATTGCAAAGCTATTGGAAAACAGAATGTTTAGTCTTCAATGGCTCGATAACCTCAGATATTACTAAAATATTTATTTATCTTCTGCCAACCTTCAGATAACTTGTTGGCTATTTTATCCACTGGCCCTGGACCTCCACAATGCCTGTGTCCACCAGCCAGGAGTAATGTCTCTCCAGGAATCAGTTTGATAGTTTTGTCTATAGTCACATGTGAGCCTGTTGATAGACTGGAACCAGTTGAACTTGCTGCTACAGTCATTTCGGTTGGTAAACCATGGATCCTTGATAATTGAGCTTCAGTTTGGTCTCGAGCTAAGTTGGTGAGGACTAGGAGAGAACCAGCAGTACCCCATCTTAAAATAGCAAGAGCATCTCCCAATCGTTTTATCTAAACAATGGGTATAATTTATAAGAAACTCATAATATTTCAAAATCTATAAATTTGCATGTTAGAGTCTAATAACAATTACAATACAGTATTGTATAATATACTAATATATTGTAATTATTTTATAATATAAATAAAGATTTTAACCCAAATTTGTGTTGGTATAATAGTAGTTTTTATTGCAATAGGCTTTGAATTGCATTTTGCGTGGCAGTGTCAGTTGTAGAGAGTTACACATACAACCTATATATTTTACTTATAAACATTTATATTGTAGGTTTGGAATATTAAAAGTTTAAAAGATTATAATCTCAAATAGGAACGGCAGAAGTTTTCCTGTCTATTTATTAATATACCTACAAACAAAATTATATCTGAAATAGTGACGATTCGCAAAGATAACTTAAGTGCGTACGGATGTTACTTAATAATAGTAAACAATATAAACAATGCCTTCAATACCTCCAAATGCGGCCCAAAAGCTGGAGACTTTCTCATAGCAGCTGCAATTCTCACAATTCCCACGTGGCTGTGGTTTCTATTGAATTCAGATTTAGCATTCGCATATTTGTAGTTGGAAGTAAAAGGTAGCCATGGTTCGCCTGCTGTGAACCCAGTGTTAGGAGAATCATCCCAAGGAAATGGCGCTGCCGACGGCACAGCCTCGCTAGGCCAACATGTTGAAGAGGTTGCCCATTCCATGATAGTATCGGCTGCTCCGAGCTCGTCTCCTTGCTGTATGACAGCAGATCCAGGCAAGATTAGGCTTAATAGATTTATTGCGTCCACCATATCGCTACTATGTCTTGTGGCTATTCTATTTTCGTTTGGTATACTAGTCTGTTGGAAAATAATAATTCGTTACAAAAACTAGAGTCGTTTTACAAAATATGTCTTTGCAACTCTGGCAAGTAAGAGGACTAATTTAAGAAATATTTATATAAAAATCTTACAATCCACGTAGGTGCCATATCATCCGGTGCATACAACAGATCAGCATAGATAGCAAGCGCTATTTCAGGAGCATTGCTCCTCACTGGAGAGGTTAGACTTCTACTTAAAACACTGTTAGCGCCGACACCACTATTTGAATAGTATTTAGCTGCTAACTCTGGACTCAAAGATGAATCTGCTAATATTACCCTGGAGAACAATAAACAAGATACGTTAAAGCTATTAGAGATTTAAATATAAATTACACTTGGCTAATTACTTAGTAGGTGAATATTTAAAACGTTATATAGTTTTTTTATTTGTTGAACTTCAATAGTGTCTAATGATAACAAAATAATTTCTAAAAATATAATAAACCTAAACGCAGATTTTAGACGTGATCAATTATAGGTTAAATAATCAAGATCTTTAGTCTATCCTAACCACTTACGGAGTATTTAAATTAAAACTGCGAGCACAATTTAAAGCTTCAACAACCATTTTTCTTAGCAGCTGTTCACCACATCGTTGCTCCATAGGAAAGTCTGGATTAAGAAGAACGCCTGAGATTCCTCTCCGTAGCCAGGCACATAGAGCTGCTGCTAATGCAGCCGCCACCCCTTCAGAACAAAGATTAAGAAGCGCTTCTTTGCCTGATACGCCAAAATGTGCACCGCGGTCTTCGTGCCAAGTCCAAGTATCGACGCCATTTTCAAGCTGAATAGGACAAGAGTTCTTAAACTATAACTAGTATCCTATACCATTTTCCATCTCCTATAGTAAATCTGTATATAATTTCAGGATGATTCGTTGAGTTGTGGAGGTACCAAGAGGTGATAAACAAACAAATCCACTTTCACATTTATAATAACAAGTAAGGATATCAATTTGCTTATATTTTCTCTCAGGCAATTCCTCTTAGGCAAGGATCTTGTTGCTAATCAAATATCTTTCCTCTAAATTACAGAATGTTTTAAATACGTACTTGCGGCATTTCTTCAGCAGTACCTTCCCGCCATAAAATCCAGTCTTCAAAACCATTAATTTTATCAGCACTAGATTTAAACCATTCAGAAGCTGTACTTATTGTTTGCAACGGTAATGTGATCAGTATTTTGAGTTCTGGAAAAAACAAAATATTCATATGAAATTATACACGTACCACTCCCACAATAACAATTAGGCAATTTTATTGTAATTTTTAAAATGAATTGAACAGGTATTAACGACCTTCTTTATTCTTTATTCTTTATTGTACACAAAACACTGGTAATTACAATTCATTATAAACATAATGTGCTTATCTCTAAAAGAGATTTCTTCCAGCAAAACCTTTCCATGTTAATGTGTTATTTTATAAATAAAAATCATTCAGTTGTTTAAAAGGTCCAGACATGAATTTGATATATTCGGCAATATGAGCCCGGATTCGATATTAGAAACACTGGCCCTCGGTCAAGCGTTGTCCGACAGAGATATTATAACTATCTTGGAATGGTAAACTACCTCATGAACGGTAGTTACCATCATCAGCTTCTATTTGGTGCACTCACCTATTTTCTTCGCCTTTTCCAGAACATTACTGAACTCTTCTAAGTTACCATAGCGCTGGTCTATTTCAGTATGCTGTATAATACCGGGCTGTGAGCAATCTGGGTTTTTTGAAGATAATGATGATAAAATGATAGCGTCAGCTCCTAGCGCCCTCACGTAACTAATTTGTTTGGATAATCCTGCAGAATTTAACATAAGATAATAAAAAAGTTAAAAAAATACCTTCCCACAATTTGATCCAATGGGAGTCGAATCCATGTCTCTCTATGTGTGATGTCTGGGCTAAGTGTGTACCCAGTTACACCACGGAAAGAAGACTGTCAGCTGGTATATTTTCAACCCCTTTTCAACTAGTTTTTTAATCTACTCGTATTGGCAATTTAGAACTGCCAAGGCGTTTGCATCGTTGAGTTTTTTTACACTATTTTGGGCGGCAAACAAGCGTACAGCTCGTCTGATGGTAAACGGATTTACCGTAACCTATGGACGCTTGTAACGCCAGAGATGTCGCACAAGCGTTGCTCACCTTTAAGAAACCTTAAAACGCTCTTTTTGAAGAATCCCATGCTCTAGTCTTAAGGGAAAGGCTTCGTAGAAAGATCATTTCATAACTTGAATGATTCTGGTTCTAAGGTGTATGGAGGGATTCTCTGCCGATGGCGATTGGTGCGATGATGAAAGTTGGCTGTAGGCATCATATCGAAAAGTTTTTCAGAACATAATCTGTTATAATATATGAAATACGACAGTGGAAGTTTATATATAATTGGTAAGGCCTGAACTTAGCTACAATTATTAAATAAAGTATGGTGAAGTTGAAGAAAGAATCAAGTCTGAACCTCAACAGCAAGCAGAGATGGAGTCGTTGGCTCGGTTTCTATTTTGTTTGTGATGGAAAAGACTTGGTATAATGATAGATACATTGATAAATATTTCTAACCTTTCAAATCTCCTAAACCATCTCCGTCGCCGTCTTTAAAAGAATCAACAAGAAGTCTATAGTACACCGCGGAGCTCCACCATGGAGAGACTTCCCCTACACCATAATTCACCAGTGCAGTAAACACAACCACACCTACCCACATCATTGTTGAGAGTAAAGGACGGCAATTTAACGCTATAATTCGACCTTGTCGTACTAGTGATGGAACACATTATTTTCTGGTATTTTTTTATTGAGGGAATAAAAGTTTAATAAATTTATTTTTTTAATACATTCATTATTATTAAAAATAATAATTTATTTGCGTAAAAACACGGTATACAGATGGTAGTAATAATATGAACATGCGTTTTGCCAAAACAATAACATGCAAAATTTTGTTACAATAATGCCAGTAAACTCTCCAAACAACAAAATGACGAGACCCAGCAGGAAAAAGAAGTGTTGGAAGGCAAAGAAAGAGATGGGCTGATGACATAATAAAGACAGCAGGAAAAATCTGGACAAATATTGCTACAGATATGGAGAAGTGGAAAAAGATGGAGGAGGCTTTTACCCTTGGAGACAACTGAAGTGGAGAAAAAGCTATAATAATGTCAGTAAACAATTGTAATTAGTTAGTTAATAGTTATAATAATTTAATTACAAGAATAAAATAATAAATAAATATAATTGAATATTTTGCAGTCAGTTATTATTTTAGGAATTCTGTAACATTATAAAACTCTTTGTTAAACAATATTGAGGGGAACAATAAAGAGTTAAATCGTTACCTTTAAATATAATTAGCGATATATAATATTGTTTGAGGTTCCGTTTTAAAAAGTAAAAAGAAACCCTTATTTCTATTACATTTGTACATATATATATATATCACTCTATATTTTTCGAAGCTTCCAATTCTGTTAATTTGAAATTACATATTGTCAAACGAAAAGGTATGGTCAACAAACATTTTCTTTTACTACAAGAGTTATGAAAGAAAAAGATGAAAAAAAAAATCCTTTGTAAGCAAGTCCAAATTAGGGGTTTGAGAATTCAAAAGAAGATTGCTATTTTAAGTGAGGTATTATTTAAAAAGGTTCATTTGCGTATTCCAAAGTATATTTCTAAAAAAATAACACTAGGTCACTTTAATTACAGAACCCTTAATATGTGTGTCTAATACGTATTTAACAGGGGGGAGGGGATTATTAGTAACAGGGAGGTTAGATCCCATTCCTATCAATATACCCTATCAGATCGACCTCCACGCGGTTCCCCCTGGAAACCATTGTGACTAATATATCGATGCATTCTCTTAATAGGCTAACTGACTTACTTTTTCATCCTCACCTAGCACCTCTCACTGGTGCCCCGCCGGTGTAAACCTATAGCGCAGGCGGGGTTACCATTTCATTATATCCATTAAAAAAAACCCATTTAACAAGTTTTCTCACTGTATATATTATTATAATTTAGTTAAGAAACGAATTTTTAGAAGCGTAAAAAAAGGTCGAAAAAACATTGTCAATTACTCTTTCGAATGCAATTAATATCTGTTATGTTAACTTTTTTTTTATACAACTTAGAATGGCAAACAAGCTGACGGCCCACCTGATGGAAAGTGTAACCGTCGCCTATTGACATGAGCAGTGCCATGGACATAACAGAGTATACTGTTTCACCCATGATACCCCCCATGCGTTGCCATTCCTGAGGACTCAGGTGTTATTCCTCTGTACCCAGTAAATTCACGCCATATCTCACCCTTCAAACCGAAACACAGCCATGCAAACACAACTGCTTCACGGTTGAAACACGAATGGGACAGAGGTACCCAAGCAATCGACTTGTATTGTGCGGGACTCGAATCTGCTACCACCAGAAGGTGAGACCAGATACTGTAATTTATCTGAAGAGTAAGGCGATGGAAGCTGTTCTAACCAAACCTCTATACAAGGGAAGGGATTGCTAGTAATGAAGAGTTTTTTCTAATGGGTGATAATGGAATGGTAACATCACCTGCGCTATCGGTATACACTGGCAGGGCACCAGTGATGGATGATAGGTGAAAAAGAAGCAGGCCAATTGGCCTATCGTGTCGAATTAGTTAATTAATCAATCATGATGGTTTTTAGGAGGAACCGCGAGGAGGTCGACCTAATAGAGTATATTGCTAGCAAAGGGGCAATTGGACCCCATTACTAGCAATCCCTTTCCCCCCCATAATGAAGACTAACGGGCATATTGTTAGCAATATATACAGTCAAGTCGACCTCTCTGAAATTCTCCCTAGGAACCATCATGCTGAATTCATAGTGTATTCATCACGATGGGCAAATTGGCCTGCCATTACAATCTCACCTATCATCCCTTACTGGTGCCCCGCCAGTGTATACCGTTAGCGCAGGCAGGATCACTATTCCATTTTCACCCATTGAAAGAAAACCTCTGCGCCATCAAGTTTCTCTGTCTTACTTTGTGCCATAGATTGAGAATCTATTTACGCTCAATACATGTTCAGACTACTAGCACAGTGTACTCGTAAGTACGAGGAACTAGATCTTTATACTGTGTCACTACTTCTTTCCCCATAGGTCGATCAGATAAAGTACTATAATGAAACTCTTTTACGTATCTAATGTTTTAATTAAAATCACTGTTTTCAAATTTTAGTCTCTGGTTTATACGAGAAAGGTAAATGAAAGGGAATCTACCTCGCTGCAGTCGAATGTTTAAAGATCAAAGCGTTTCGGTGGCACAGGGATCTGGCTTGGTAATTGTGGTCTTTTTCGAAATTAATAAAGTCAATGTACTTTTTTATAACAAAAATATTGTAGAAAGTAATGATAAATCGAATATCGACGTAAGTAATGTTCAATAAGACAGGTATGTATACGTAGGGGGCAAATGAACATGCGGCTCACTTGATGGTAAGTGACTACCACCGCCCATGATTACCTACAACACCAATGGCATTGCAAGTGTGCTGCCGGCCTTTTAAAAGGGAATATGCTCTTTTCTTAAAGGTTATGTTGTCGTATCGGTTCGGAAATACTGCTGCTGGAAGTTGATTCCAAAAAGTAGTTGTGCGTGGAAGAAAGTGCCTTGAAAAATGCACGGTGGAAGACCGCCACTCGTCCAGATGGTTGGGAGGAAACTTTAGTTTATGCCGGGTTGTACGGTGGTGAAAATCAGCAGCAGGTATCAATCCAAACAATTCCTCAGAGCACACCCCATGATAAATTCGGTAAAAGATGCACAGAGATGCAACATCTCTGCGCAGCTTCAGTGAGTCGAGCCGGAGAGTATGGCGCTGATTATCAATAATTCGAGCCGCCCGATCTTCTTGGATCTCACCTTCTCCTCTACCCAAGACTGACTGTACAAGTATATTACTTTGAAATGCAGTTTTGTTTACAAAAGGCTACTTTAACTTAGCTACTGAATGTATTTCAGTCATTCGAACGAAGTCGCGGATAAAAGCTAGTTTTCGATTAATTGAAAACGGTATCTATAGAGAGTGAATGTCTTTCAATTCCAAATAAATAATATATATATATTTGGGGCTTAGATACTTGTAGGATATTAGTTGACAGATCAATAATGATTTAAGATACGAAATCCATCTTTGAACAACGGCCGAATAGAAGGGTTGATCATTTGTAAGATGAAAACGGTGAAATGTCCCCAACGGGTATCCTTCGTCAATTCAATCCATTGACCTGGGGCCCAGACAGCATCTAATTGATTCTGATCTCCGATAGTTTACCTTTAACTTTGATATTGAAAAACGATCCTTATTTGCATTGACGTAAGTCACACATTCGGTTTGTTTGCTATTTACATAGAAAAAAATCTTTCTAAGAATCTAAGGAACCGTAAATTTAAATAGCAGATGAACAGCCAAATGTAACAATTATTTGTAAACTAATTTGTATGACATTACATGAAATAAAGCAGAATTCTGGCAACGTTGTTGTCTATGTTTAAAAAATTCCGGTCAAGTGCGAGTCGGTCTTGCCCAACGAGGGTTCCGTACAAAATTGTTACAAAATACAAAATTGTTGTACAAAATACAAAATTAAAAAAAAGTTGAAATTTGTTTGATTCAGATTTTCATTTTTGTGAAAGTACTACAAATTTATGCTTTTCGTATTTTCCCTATACTTACGGCTGATATCATGATGCCAATGATGACGAAATTACAGTTCAAATCTTATGCGGCTGAAAATTAATGCCCATACCAATTTATATCGTTTATTACCAGACAACTGATAAAACATCATTAAACAGACCGATACGACATCATAACCTTCAAGAAAAGAGCATATTCCCTTTTAAAAGGCCGGCAGCACACCTGCAATGCCGCTGGTGTTGTGGGTGATCATGGGCGGCGGTAGAGGGAGACTTTGTACAAAAGTCGATTGCTTGGGTACCTATGTTCCATTCGTGTTTCAACCGTGAAGCAGTTGTGTTTGCATGGCTGTGTTTCGGTTTGAAGGGTGGGACATGGCGTGAATTTACAGGGTCCAGAGTATAGAGGAATAACACCCGAATCCTCAGGAATGGCAACGCATGGGGGCTATCGTGGGCGAAACAGTATACGCTGTTATGTCCATGTTACTGCTCATGTCTATAAGCGACGGTTACCACTTTCCATCAGGTGGGCCGTCAGCTTGTTCGCCATTCTAAGTTGTATAAAAAAAAACAGGTGAGCCCCATGATCCGTGTCTCCGAGCCCCCTGTGTTTTAAAAAAAAACTTGTCGAATACAGCACTAGTGGTGCTCCATACGCTGTGCTGTTAACCAGTAATTGGTAATATTCAAATCAGAGACCAAATATTATAATCTATCAGTAAAAATAACTACAAATAAATATGTATATTACATAGTACCAGACAACTTGTTGAATACAACACTAGTGGTGCTACATACGCTGTGTCGTGAACCAGTAATCGGTACTATTCAAATTACAGTGCCAACCTTATAATGTGGTTGGCCCATAATTTGCGATGACTGGACCAAAATGTAACTGCGTAATGAGCGGTGTGATTCCGCGTTTGTTGGCAAAGTAGGGAACTTGTATTGTACGGGTTTATATATAGATCGATTTGGAAATCATTAGCATCTTTCTAAAAGTGTGCTTTATAAGTGAAACTG